AAATAAAATATCGGCAGCAACCCACCCCGATCAATACCCTACTTTTCTTGAGCGTCTAGCTTGTCACTCTTGAGAATGACACACCGCAGTTGACTAGAGTTGTAGTCTATATTTGCTTTTCAACAAGAGCCGAGTCAAATTTTCAGGGTCATTTTTTTTCCTGTGAGAAAAATGCCGATATTTTATTTTTCATTCAAACAGCCAAAAACAAAAAAGAGCAATTTTGATTTAGCATTCCCTGCCGTGTGTGTGTGTGTGTGTGTGTATGCACGCGTTTGTGCGCAGTATTTTCCCCGAAATAAATGCAAAGACCTAAAGAAAAATATATTTACACAAAAGAGTAGAAGCTGCATTGGTATTCTGCTTGTTTCTTACCCTCCATGTGGAAAATAGCAAGTTGGAGAAGGCAAAAGTTGTTACATCGGGTCTGATGTGCTGTGCAATCCAATGGAGGTGCAGTCAGAAATACACTCATCAATTTGCTGTTTTTTACCAAGAAATGCAGCTTAGGAGCTTTAATGTATTAATGGATTCTACTCTGGCCTGTTCGGGGAGCAGTTCAGCATGGAAGGTGACAGAAAATGCACAGGCACTGTCAGGAATCCCAAAAGCAACTAGCCAACTTTAACAGTCCCAGAAAAAAGCTAAACAATGTTGAGTCTGGTTAGTACAGTTAGTCCTCGACGTAGGACCACAAGTGAGCCCAACATCTCTGTTGTTAAGCAAAGCTGTTCAGTCAATTTTACCCATTTTCCAACTTTACTTGCCACAGTTGTTAAGTGAATCACTGCTGTTTTTAAGTAAGTAACGCAGTTGTTCTGTCCTCACTACACATTAGTCTGTGTGCAGGTCAATGTTCAGCTCAAACCACCTATCCTCCAATAAAAAAAGGGTTCACTGACAAATGCGCGCCTGACAAAACTGCCGCGACAAAACGGTGAAATCAAAAGCGCGCCCACTAAAGCGCGTCGACAAATGTGCACCCATAAAAGTGCGCCATTGAAAACAACACGAAAACAAAGGTAACAATGTTAACAACCCTAACCCTAACCCTAACCCTAACCCTAACCCTAATCCTAACCTAAAAACCCTAATCGCGCTTTTGTGGGCGTGGTTTTGTTGGCGCACTTTAGTGGGCACGCTTTTGACTTCACCATTTTGTCGCGGCGGTTTTGTCGGCACGCATTTGTCAGGCGCGCATTTGTCGGGTCACAAAAAAAAGACCATGTGTGTAGATCTGAATGCTTTATTGAAAGAACGGGATATGGTGAAACTGCGGAAAACAGGGATACATACAATGAGAATCAAATACAAGATAAGCAGTATTGAGTTACTGCTGAACATAACAATGAATAAATACAAGCAATCTAAATCTCACCAGCGAAGCTCTGGGTGTGGGATAGGCTTGTCCTTGGATGACCATGTGCCACAGATTAAGATGGCTTCTTCTGCATGCTTCCAAAGGCTAAAGGAAAATGGAGTCTGGCTTCTCAGCGTGCACTTGGTTTGACAGTACGGGCTTATGGGTAAAGAGGTTGGGTCAGCTTCAAACAATATATTTGGTATTTTGTCTCTCTGGCCATTAGATGGGGCTAGAGCACAACAGTATATAAAGATCACATGTTGGGGCATATTTGTCCCTCCGGCCACTAGGTGGGACTACAGAGCAACAACAGTATATAAAAGTTATATGCTGTGGCATGACAACACTTGTTAACTGAATCCACTTTCCCCGTTGACTTTGCTTGTCAGAATGTCACAAAAAAGGATCACATCATCTTGGGACACTGTAACCATCCTAAATATGAGTCAGTTGCCAAGCATCTGAATTTTGATCATATCATCATGGGGATGCTGCAACTGTCGTTAATTGTGAAAAGTGGTCATAAATCACTTTCTCCAGTTGTAATTTCCAGTTGCCGTTGTAATTTCAATCACTAAATGAACTTTCGTAAGTCAAGGACTATCTGTGTCCATACTATACCACTTCCAGTCCTAAACTCTCTTCTTAAAAATCTCCACTGATGGAGCACTCACAAGTTCTGGAAGCAAGCTATTTCCCTGGTTAATTGTTCTCACTGTCAGGAAACTTCCCGTTAATTCTAAGTTGGATCTCTCTTCGATTAGTTTCCTAACGTCCTTTAGCGTCTTCCTAGTTTCCTAGCATCCTTTAGCATCTTCTCCTGCCTTCAGGTCAAAGGGGGGGGTTCCGGCAGCCATGACTGCCAGTTCGCTCGTGGTCACACAGCACGCGTGTGTGCTTCGTGCACATGTGCAGTGCTATAAAAATGCTTCTGTGCATGCGCAGAAGCCAAAAACAAGATAGCGGTGCCAGGAGAACCAGTTTGGGGGCGTGGCAAGCCTGGGCCGCTGCCAGTTTCAATGACCCAGTCCGCCAATCCACTACTGGTTCAGCAAAACTAGCCCGAACCGGTAGGAACCCACTACTGCTTCAGGTGGTTTGACCTTGACCTTCGACTTGGATCTCGAAGAAAAGGGAGAACAATTCCCTTGTGTGGATTCAGTAGAACTGCCTGTCAGGCCTGCAGCCGGTTCCTTTTAGGATCTTTGGCATGCCACACTCTCTATTATTGTGCTGTGCTGTTTCATTAGTGGGGAATTGGGAGGGGGAATAGTAAGGAGTAGAATGTGTTGTTGTCAACATAAATTCCTTTCTAGAAAACCAAGGTCATCTTTTGTTCTCTACACCTCTGAGCCTGACCAGAACTGGATGGGTGGAACTGCCAGCATGGCAGTGGAAGATTGGACCATGTGATGGGCTTGTGGGTGTGGGGGCAAGATCATGAACTTTCAACTGGTTGGGGAAAACCAGGAAGCTTTCGGATTCGGGATTTCCCAGATGTGCCAACATGTCTCTCTTCATAAATTGGAACTTTGACGAATACTTTGCCTTGGACTCTGATTTAATTTTGAATGATATTTGGAATGCTGACACTGACACTGTAAAACTGTCTTTGGGCAAGTTCTAGGGAGAAATCAGACTTGGGATGTTATATTACAGAGGTAGAAAGGGTAAACATGGCCAACCAAGATGATTAGGAGCTGCAGCAGCTTCCCCGCAAGGTAAAAATACAGCAATTGGAACTCCTTAGCTTTAAATCATAGAGCAGCTTACTAGTATAAAAGCATGCATGGCATGGAAAGGCAGATTTTCTTGTTCAGGATTGAATGCAAGACACATGCAGGGAGATTCCACAATGAAGGAAAGGACTTTCCACACAGCGGCAGCCAAAAAGGCCAATGCAATCCTAAATTGCATTAACAGAGGTATACAATCAAGATCAAGTGAGGTACTAATACCCTTCTATAAAGCCCTAGTAAGATCACACCTAGAATACTGCATCCAGTTTTGGTCACCACCCTATAAAAAAAAAAAGATGTGGAGAAAAAGTGCAGAGGAGAGCAACCAGGATGTTTAGGGCAGTGTTTCTCAACCTTGGCCACTTGAAGATGTCTGGACTTCAACTCCCAGAATTCCCCAGCC